CTTCAAACTATTCAGTGAAGCTGTTGATTGAAAATTAAATAGACAGACAATTATAACTACATCTATCACAGAAGCTGAGCTTATTACTATTTCATAAGCTGATAAGAAGTCTATCTGATGAAATAGATTCTTTCAACATATTCAATTTAAATCTGGTCACAAGATCTGTATTCAATGTGATAATCATCAAACTGTTAACATTCTTACAAAGAAAGATCCCTCTATAATCACAAAGCTCTGTCATATTGATATATATGAAAGCTGGCTCTGAGAATGTGTTCAATTCAGTGATATTACAGTTGATTAAGTGCCTATGGCTCAGATGCTAGTGAATGGCCTCACTAAGGCTCTGTCATGCCAGAAACATACAGAATTCATCAAGATGCTAGGCCTAGTTGATATATCAGATATCATCAAGACATAAGCAGATTAAATGATCTATCTTGATATAATCTCTACAGATTCATCTACACTCTTTTTATTACAGCTTCATTTACATCTTCATTTACACTTTCATTTACATATTACATTCACTGAAGGGGGTGTGTCAGGAAAAAGAGGTTATACACTACTGAACATTATCAACATCATATTACTGAATGCCATCAATATCATATTACTACAATATTTCTCATCATCATCAGCTTACTACAACACTTGTCTAATACTCACTTATGCTAGCTCTCTTGGCTCGCACATATATTTTACTATAAATAGCTCCATCTTTTGTATGAAATAGATATATTAGATAGTGTATGGATAATATAACAAGCAGATCTTGATACAGATAAGATTCATATGTCTTCAACATATTCATCCGTGACACTCAATCCGACACGGTTTCTTTTTATGTCTCATACTTCTTCATCTCTTCTTATTAAATTTAATCTCTGTATGAATCTGCTTCTATAAATAATATATTCTCTTTTTAATCACTTCTATCAGTCATCTTTCATGGTTCCATACTCTGTATAGCACAAAACAAGTAATTCAAGCAAGCGACCATGTTTACTTTCTGGGTACTCTAGGCATGCTGCCGTAGATAACTTTATATGTATACTCAAGGCATTCATTTTATTTGTTTTCCAAAGAATTGTAGTGATTGATGTGCCGAATAAGAAGAGATCATCACAATCGCAGTATCACCCGTTTCCTCTTGGAATCACCACTGCTTAAGAATATACTTTATCGCATGGGTGACTATGGATGGACTTGACTAGATTATTCCTGCTCCTCGTAATAGTGGGCACGAAAAAGCAAAGTCCCACTTCCCATGTGTGCTATTTTTATGTTGATGCTCAGCAGCAGACACGGAGAGATAGAGAGAGAGATGAGATTGACAAGCAGCAGTGACTGAGTAAGTTAGATAGAACTCTGCTCTTTTCCAAGCTCCATCAAGCGAAAGCTAGCCTTGGACGAATGTATGGCTATCTATTATTCACCCCCACTCTTTTATAATAATAATAATAATAATAATAATAATAATAATAATAATAACAAGCATCAAATGCTCGCTTACGCTCGCTTTTCTGCTTGCGCAGCCCCCTCTACCACTTCCACCCAACAAAACATTAACTGGGGAGGAAAATAAAAGGAAAAAGAAAAAAAAGAAAAGAGAAAAAAAGAAAAAAAAGAAACGCTTGAAATGCTTTCACCAAGAAATGATAGACGACGAAGCAATGAAGCAAGAAAAGCAAAAGCCATTTAAAAAAATCAAAAATCAAAAAAATCAAAATCAACATCAACATCATCAAAATCATAAACATAGCAGCACTCTCTCAAATAGGTAAAGAGGGCAAATCTCTCTCACTTTGCTTTACCCACTCATTCCATCACATTAAATCTGCCATG